GGAAGAACAGGGTGAACCATCTTGCCACAAGCTCAGACTGGGCCCTTGACAGGTCGCTTCATCCCTCTGTGATTAGTGTTCCCTGTCTTGATGGCAGTAATAATACTGGCTTCATCTGTCAGGCCTATGTGCACCTTTGCTGGCTGTGGGTCTGGACAGGGTCCAGGAGGATGAGCTGGATGTGACTGAGGTCCTTTGCGATGGATGTCACTGCTAATTAGAGTGGGGAGATTAGCTGCTGTATTTTTCAGAAGCACAGGAGGGAAATCCAAAATCACATCTCCCAAATGGAAAAGGACAATGCTAGGGTATGAGCGAGTTCTTTTGAAGCTTTGAATATGAATCACAGTGTCAAGTAAAAAATAATTAAACTTATTTTTTTTTTAAATGTACTTCAAAGTGTCTTTTAAGCTTCCCATTAATTCAGAGTTCTTTCAGCACTAAATAAATCTCTTGGTTCAAAAGCACAAGTGCTAATTGGTTTCTCTGAGTCTGCTTGATCAATAGGGGAAGTAGTTTTTGTTAAATATTTGCACATATAGTCACATATTGTGTCACTGAGGGAGATGGTAAATGTTTCTCAAAAGGAGACTTGTAGAATGGGGTTTCCAATAATTTTCTTGTGGCCTTTATGTCCGAGCTAATAACGCCTCCTCCCTCCATCCTTGTGCAGAAAGCAGAGCTATTTTCCCTCTTGTGCTGCAGCCTGTTCTGCTCCCTGGGTTGCACCCTGCCCCTGTCTGCAAACCCCAGCTGCCATCAGCCAGGTTCTACCATTCCTGCCTGGAGTAGAGAGCAGCTCTGAGCCATGTGGCCTCACAGTCCATTTTGGGAGGTACCCAGGATGTTGTGTGGGATGAGCTGGGTTTGGATACGCAGCCAACCCTTGATGAGGGATGGGACTCCTGGAGTCCCTGAGTCCTTGCGCACAATTCCAGTGATTTCCTCTCTGCCTCTCTCAATTAATTGCACTTTTACTGTTTCCATGTACCTCTGGAGTGTTATTTGCTCCCACCCCAGCACCATAATTTCTGTGCCTCACTGTTAACTACAATCAGTTCTTCATGCTTAATGCTGGCTCCCCCTCTGCCCTCAGATTAGGCCACAAGGCTCCAGGACCATAGGGAATGGGACTGGGTTCAAGGTGGGCTTTGGCTGGAGAAGAGCCCATGGCTGCTTCCTCAGAGCTTTCTGCTGCTGGGCTCAGCTTTCCCTGCAACAGTGGTGCCATGGTGGTACAGGCATGCAAATGCCTCTCAGCATCTCTTCAGCATCTAAATATCTAGGGAGAAGAGAGAGTTTTGGTTGCGTTTGCATGGCAAGCCCATGTTGGAGTGAAAGAGAGAATGTGGTTTCTCCCAGAACTTCTGGTGGGAGTGGGCTTGCTTCTCCCCATTCTTCCAGTTAGCTGGCCACCTGGCCCTGAAGCCCCAGGAAAGTGACAGTGGGATTTCTTCAAGGTCAGAAAACCATCCCATAAGAAAAGCTTCCAGTGAGGAGGAATTCGGGTGCTTCTGGACGCTGCAAAGTGTCTGCAAGCTACAAACCAGTTGCACACTCTGCATTGCACAGTGTCGCACCTTGAAGCACAACCCTGCTCTTCACTACAGTCCAAGGAGACCTCAGGACCAGCCAGTGTCTATCCCCACCCCAGCGTGTGTCTGAGGGCACCAGCCCTAATTACGAGTGTCATCACTTCTGCTGCTTACACAACCTGGAGTTAGGATGTGGACCGAATGTTTATGGAGGCAAACATGATTATCTCCAATCACAGGCCTTAATGATGGTTATTACAATGACAGCCATTGTGGGAAGGACATGTAATTATGTTGATTCTTCCTTTTATTGTATGTGTAATAATAAGCTGTTTTATCTGAGAGAACAGGGGAGCTGGGGGAAGATGGGGCAATTATTTCATTAGGGATTTTTTTCTGTTTGCCTGTTGGGCTAAATCCTGAAATCTCATTCAGTCTCCTGGAGTCAGAAGTCTCCCTTGGTTTAGTGGGGAGTCAGGACATGAAGGTCCTTATCTTACCTATATAGATTTCCCCACACTGGATAGTTTTAAGTCTCAGCTTAACAGGGTGCTAAGCCACCTCATATAAACTATAGTATTACCTAGAAAGGTTGGACCAGATGATCCTCAAGGTCCCTTCCAACCTGGCATTCTATGGTTCCCTAACTCCTATGAGTGTCCACGCAGGGAATGGTGCCCCAGTGTGGTGGGTGCTGTTGAGACTCTGGCAACTTTGCAGAAAAATGTGGAGCATTCATCTAATTCCTTATTTTTCACAAAAAAAAAGAAAAAAAGAAAAAAGTAATTGATGGGTTTGTGCTGCTGCAGTCTAACTTGCTGAGAGGACCGCAGGGCTATCTCATAAAAAATAAGTCACAGTGAGCGATAGATCACTGAGATAGCTGGAGCTAGCCTGACATTTTAAGACTTAATGGGTTAATAAAGTGTGTGTTTTAGGTGTCTGTCACTAGGTAGAGTTTGTCCATTCCCTGCACACCCTCATACCTTGACAGCAATACTTTTGACCTGCCCTGTGCTACCCCTGCTGCCTTTGTCTGCTCTGTCCATCTGCCTCGGCTCAGGTTGCACTCAATGTTTATCCCCCGTAATCCAATTTAAGTTGCCGTAGAAAGCAATGGGGATTTACAGAGAGAAAGAGAAAAGATCTCACTGGGTTTGCAGAGCAGAAAAGACAGGCGCTTTTTTTTTTCCCCCTTCATTTTCTTCAGGATAACTGCCTCTCCTTGTCCCTTTCATTTTTACCATGCATTAACAGTCTGCCCTCCACTCTGCTTTTGAGCCCAATACAGTGGGATCCTGTCCTTGGTGGGGTCTGTATTTCTTCTGTATTAGGGACAGACATTACAAAAACTGTGCTGTGGCTGGTGTTTGCTGAGAGAAGTTGCCCATGTGCATCCCAATTCTGCAAGCAGCTCTGGAGCTGGTCCCTCTGAGCCCACAAAAGAGGGGAGAAGCTGCATTGCAGGTTTGAGCAGCTGGAAACCTCCACCCTTCGGGGGGCTGTTGCATGAGACAACAGCTAGAAAGGTTTTTCCTGTATTTGGATGAAGTTGTAGTTTTCCTTCTCTGCTGGAATTTCTTCTCCTTTGCTCTTTAAAAAAAAAAAAAAGGAACAATTCACATCCCTGTGTTTACACCCTTCAGATACGTACATGACTCCTGTTTATTGGTCACTTTTTGTCTTTCACGTCAGCATGTATTTTGGGCAAATCTTTAAGCAATAGTGCTATTTCTCTCCTCTTCTGTAGCATCTGATCATGATTGTATGGCAAATAACACCCTAAAAAGGTGTGCTGGACCAAAGTGAAGCAGAACATGCCAAAGATGTGATGTTTAAATGTTCTGTTGGCAAAAGAAGTAAATGAGTATGTATCTGTATGATGGGAAACCAGGGTTTGCCTGTTGCTGGTACAGCAATAACTTATCTCTCCTGGTCGTCGTTTAGCATAATTGAAAGAAACCTTTCATGTCTCTGAGCCAGAACGTTGTGCATTTGTATTTCAGTGCTTAACTTGCTCTTCACCTGGGACTGAATAGATCCATCCTTTGCCTGTTACAGTGTGAGAGAGACCAAAGCCACCAAAGGGCACTGTGTTACATGTGAGAGGCAAACAGCCTCCTGCTCTGCCAGGCAGAAGTGTCATGAAGATGCTAGTGGCAATATGGTGTGAACTGGGAGCTGCTGATCCTCCTCTTCACTCCAGCTGGCTGTGCTGCCAATGGGTCTTGGGCATGGCACAGTCCCTCTTTGCCTGCTTTGCCTGCTTTCCTGGGGGGTGGAAGAGTTGATTTCTAAAATTGGTGTAAACTTCTGCTCCTGGGGTGAGAGTTGCTGGTGCCCCATGTGAATTTTTATTGCCTACTGTTGCACTCCCGTGAAGGAATGTGAAGAGGTAATCTTCAGAGGGGTAGGAGTTGGAGCTGGGGTTTGGCAAGCTGTCAGAGGAGTGTGGAGATCCCCCTTCGCTGGAGTCCCCAAACATGGCCTTGAAGGTCTGGGTCTGTGTTTGTGCCTTTGGAAACTGCACCCTGAGCTGTTGATAGCAAAGCCTTGATATACTTGATAGCAAAGTATGCCCGAGGGTTTTGTGTTTCTCCAAAACAGTTACACCCTGTAGCTCTGTCAGCCCACTCTATCCAAAATGTTTTCATTATTCCGTTAGCTGCCGTAAAAGTGGCTCTTCCTTCTTCTTGTGGACATACTCCATTGACTCCATCCTCCTTTCTTCATTTCAGACTTTGGCCATTCCTCTGAGCTGGCCTTCGTGGTGGAGCCTAGCGATGACATCGCGGTGCAGGAGCAGCCCTTGATCCTTTACTGCCAGGTGGAGGGCATCCAGCCCATCACCATCACGTGGCGGAAGAACGGCGTGATGATTGTGGACAGTGAGAATGCCTTCGTGTTGGCCAACGGGTCGCTCTACGTCTCCCGCTTCCAGAGGGTCCGGGGCGATGGGTCTTCAGATGAAGGCGAGTATGACTGCGTGGCGCAAAACCACTACGGGCTGGTGGTCAGCCGGAAGGCCAGGATTCAGGCAGCAAGTAAGTATGGGCATCATCCCAGTGGCACCTGGTGGGGCTCTGGCCTTGCTGGGAAGCAGGAGGGCAGCGTGGGGGTGCTGGGTGCTCACAGAGGGAGGATGAAAGAAGGGAAAGATAAAAGAGAAGCT